TGCCACATCCCAAAATCCCAGACAAGCCCTATCCAGCCTGGCCTTGGGCACTGCCAGGGATCCAGGGTGGGCACCCTGTGCCAGGGCCTGCCCACCCTGCCAGGAACAATTCCTGCCCAATCTCCCATCCAGCCCTGCCCTCTGGCACTGGGAGCCATTCCCTGTGTCCTGTCCCTCCAGGCCTTGTCCCCAGTCCCTCTCCAGCTCTCCTGGAGCCCCTTCAGGCCCTGCCAGGGGCTCTGAGCTCTCCTGGAGCTTCTCCTCTCCAGGGGAGCACCCCCAGCTCTCCCAGCCTGGCTCCATGGCAGAGGGGCTCCAGCCCTGGCAGCATCTCCGTGGCTCCTCTGGCCTGGCTCCAGCAGCTCCACGTCCTCCTGCTGCTGTTCCCCAGGCTGGGGCAGCTCTGCAGGTGGGGTCTCACCTGAGCGGGGCAGAGGGGCAGAATCCCCCCTCCCCTGCTGGCCCAGCCCAGCACCACCAACACAGGGTGGGGTCTCTGTGCCATGGGGGAAATTGTTCCTCCCCGTCCTAAAGCAGCTCTGGGTGAATCCCCACCTCTCCAACCTGCTCTGCTTCCCAGAGAAAACCCTCCCCTGCTTCCAAACCCCTCCTTGGGGTGAACTGTGGTGCTGTGGGTGCCCAAACCCAGCCCCAGGCTGGAGGAACACAAGTGGGAGCAGAGGCTGTGCCCGGGATCGTAGCTACTCCTTTATTATAATTCATGCCTTACGTCGCTCCTCCTCAGAGTTAGTATGTTAAACATTGGTCAGTAGGATATATATCGATATAAAAATGGTGAAAACACCCCCTCCCCTCACCCAAAAAACATCAGAATGGAGCATGGCACCAGGAAGGAAGAGAAATGAGGTTTGCTGAGCACCAGAGAAGCTGCGATCGGCCGAGGAGCAGGTGGACACAAAAATGGAGCTGGGAGAGGAACACACGGGGGCTTTGCTCTGGGGGAAGGGTCTGTCCCCTCCCTGCACCACAGGGATGGCCCCAAGGGAACAAAACACAGCTTTGGACAAAGGTTTCCCATCGCTGTGATGTGGAAAGGCCTGAAAAGGAGCATAACAACAATTACAATGCCAACAAAAAGCACTTTGGAGGGTTGAAGTCAGGTCTCCTCCACAGGCTGCCCGTGGAGGAATTGGCCCAGCTTTGGCCACGAGGTGACCTGGAGGAATGTCAAGCCTGTTCTTTTCCCATCGCTGGAGGCCTCCTGTGGGCAGAGGAGTGGGTGGCACTGGGACTGGCACCTCGAGGCCACAGCCACACGTGGCCAGGCTGCCTTTGGAGGCAAAGCACCTTTCGGAGGCAAAGCACCTTTGGAAGTCAAGCACCTTTGGAAATGAGGCTGAGGCTGTCTCTGGGCAGGGTCCTGCTGTGCCAGGCCCTGGGGACACTGTGCCAGGCTCTGGGGACACTGTGCCAGGCCCATTCTTGTCTGCACCCTCCTGTGCTGCTCTCCCTGAGCCTGGCACAGCCTCGATGCCCGTGAAGTGACTGCAGCCCCCTGCATGCCTCTGCCCCCAGCTCAGCTCGTGCTTCGAGGGGTAAAAACTGGTCCTAAAAGTGACAAGGGCAAACAGGGGAACAGCCCAATCCAAGCTGGTGGCTACAGGAGGTTGGGGAGCCCCCTCTCCCAGTGTCACCCCCTGCTCACGGGGTGACCTGATCCCAGCCCCGAGGACACAAAATCCCTGCTCCGGCCCCACTCCCCCGGCGGCTCCTCTCCATCCATCACCCAGGAGCCACGAGCCACGCCGGTCACCCGAGGCACTGAACCCTCCTCCCTGGCTCCCCTGGGGTCCCGAGGGAAGGGCAGCAGCCCCGGGAGTGCCCAAGCCCCGTGATGGTGCCCTGGGGGCACGGAGCAGGATGAGGCAGGAGCGGGGCGAGCGGTGCCGCTTCCCCCAGCGGGACCTGGCTCCGCTACTAATAAATAACAACATCAGCATTTCAAGTAAAGTCCCTGCTCTGCCCAGCTCCCCCCTCTCCCAGCGCTCATCCAGCTGGGGCTGCAGTGGTTGAACTGGGAACCTGCCTCTGAGAAGCTCGGGGGCCGAGGGGGCTGTGGGGGACGGGTTTGGGTGACGCCCGTGGAAGCGTGACCGGAGTCAGCGTGGGAGCCGGGGGAGGTTCCCGGGGAGGGCAGGGCTCGGCAGCCCTCCAGTGAAGCTCTGGCCTTCCAGTTTTGCCACGGGGCTCCCGCTGGGTCCCGCTGTGTCCTAGTGGCCCTGGCAGGTTTTACAGCACATCTGTCGGAAGTAGGTCCGGCTGCAGAACTTGAACTTGAGGACCAGCGGGCAGTAGGCCACCTTGTTCACATCCTTGCACTCTGCAGGGGACACAGAGGGGAGCAGGGTCACAGCCAGGCTGAGGAGATCCTGGGGGGGTTTGTCAGGGAGCTGGAAGATGCAGCCATGGTGAAGAAGCTGCTGAGGATGTCACTGATGGAAACCTGTCTTTACCAGGGTGCAGTTCCTGCATTTCTCAAGGTGGAGTTCCCTCATTTCTCAGGGTCATGGCACACCAGGTTGGCCCAGGACCAGAGGGGACCAGAGCCATAGAATGGCCACATTTTCAACAGAATGGTTTGGGTTGGAAGGGACCTTAAAGCCATCAGGTGCCACCCTGATACGGGCAGGGACACCTCCCACTACCCCAGGTTGCTCCAAACCCCAATGTCTAACCCAGCCTTGGACACTTCCAGGGATGGGGTCTCCCACCCTAGAGCCCAACTCTAGCTGCCATGTCCCTGTCCCCAGTGGGACACGTGTCCCCTCTGCAGAGACCCCTCTTGCACTCCTGGAACTACACCCCGTGGACCATGTGCTGATGCTGGGCTGCTTCGGGGGGACATGTGGGACTCCCCCATGCTGTGTCTGGGTTTCTTCTTGGCTCTGAGGAGCTCTGGGGTCTCTACACAGCCCCACCCTGCACTCAGCCAGGTGAGAGTTGTGTCAGGCAGTGCCAGGGCAAAGAACCCATGTGCCATCTTCAGCTGGGCCACAGGTATGGGTGGAAGAATCTTAATGATCAAATTTTTCCACCCCCTGCCATGAGCAGGGACACCTCCCACTACCCCAGGCTGCTCCAAACCCCATTGCCCAACCTGGACACTTCCAGGGCTGGGGTCTCCCCACCCTAGAGCCCAGCTGGTGCTGTGCTGGCTCCCATGTCCCTGTCCCCAGTGGGACACGTGTCCCCTCTGCAGAGCCCCCTCACCTTCGGGGTTGTCCGTGGGCCCCGACTCGCACTTGCTCTCGCACTGCTGCATCCCTGGGGGCTGCAGGGCCTCCACGCAGTCCATGGCCGGCTGCCCGGTGTGCGCCAGGCACTGCACGGATCTCCTCTGCTGCCCGAGGCCACACTGGGCAGAGCACTGTGGGCACAGCACGCAGGGAGCTGCCGCGGCCACCACGGCCCTGGGACCGCGACAGCAGCGGGCACAGGCGGGGCAGGGGGTGCCAAGGGTGCTGGAGGGGGTTGTCCCTTCCCTCCCCGGCACGAGTGAGTGATGCTGCCCTGCATCCCAAAAAATGCTTGGTTTGATTCTCCAGGGCTCGGCGAGGATCCCACATCCAGCCCTAAATCACTGGCCTTTGCCAGGCCTCCTGCACCCCCCTGCAGCTCCAGGGGTGCTCAGGGCAGGGAGGACTGCCAGGGTCACCCCGCGGGGCTCTGGGTGGACCAGCAGTGGCCCTGCTTGGCAGGAGGGCCAGCCCACCTCTGCAGCCACTGCCCTGCTGACCCCCAGCCACCACGGGGACCCTTCCACGACTCCTGTGGGGTCCTGGCACACCCCCAGGGTCTGTTCTGTCCTTGGGGCACCAGCACCATCACAAATGAGCTGAAAAGGGGACAAAGAACACTGCCACGGGTCCCTGGATAGCTGTGGTGGCCACCCAGGCTTCTGCTGGCCCATAAAGGTGTCCTGCAGGGCAGGATTTGAAGGGCTGGGGAGGCTCCTGCTGCAATTCCCCCGTGGGGATGGCTGTCCCTACCTCTCCCCACTCGCCGGTGACCCAGCGGGGTGGGGGGCAGCGCCGCAGGTTGCACCTCATGCTGGTGGGGGGCTTGGCGGCCTCGTGGCACTGCGAGGTGGGCAGGGTCACGCTGTGGTCGCCGCTCTTGCACAGGACGATGCGGTGGCGGAAGCCGGGCCCACAGCTTGGGGTGCACTGCAGGGACAGGGGACACGGTCAAGGAGGGGACAGAGGCAGCTCTGGCTCCCCAGCCCTGCTGCTCCCAAATTTCCTGGCTCCTGAGCTGCCACATTCCCACACTGAGCTCTCCGTGGCTGTCACTGGTGATGGGCACTGTGCTCCTAGGGAGCAGCGCCCTCAGAGAGGGGAGGGATGGTCTCAACCATGGAACCAGAATATCCTGAGCTGGAAGGGACCCCCAGGGATCATCAGCCCAGCCCCTGTCCCTGCCCAGACCCCCCAACAGCCCCACCCTGAGCAGCCCTGAGAGCGCTGTCCAAACGCTCCTGCAGCTCTGGCAGCCTCGGGGCCGGGACCATTCCCTGGGGAGCCTGGGCAGTGCCAGCACCCTCGGGGGGAAGAACCTTTCCCTGAGCTCCATGCCAAGGCCTGGCACAGCTCCAGCCCTCGCTGGGCTCCAGGAGCTGTCCCAGAGCAGAGCTCAGCCCCTGCCCCTCTGCCTCCCCTCGGGAGGAGCTGCAGCCCCGAGGAGCCTCCCCTCATCTCCTGTGCTCCAGCTGAACGAGCCAAGTGCCCTCAGCCGCTCCTCAGACCTTCCCCAGCTCTGTGTCCCTCCTTGGCACTCGCCTCTGACCAGTCCAGGGCCACCCACTCGGGAGGACACGTTTGGTTGTTGCAGGGCTCCAGCATCTTTGGCCGTGGCTGCGTGCAGGAGGCGTCATCCAGGGTTTTCTCCTCGCTGGCAGAGATCTTCCTCTTGCAGAAGACGCTGCGGGTCCGGACGCCCTCGTTGCAGCTCCGGCTGCACTCGGACCAGTTCCCGATGGCCCAGCTGGAGAGGGGCAACAGCAGAGCTGGGAGGGACAGCCTGGGCTGGGCTGGGCTGGGCTGGGCCGGGCTGGGCTGGGCTGGGCTGGGCTGGGCTGGGCCAGGCTGGGTTGGATTGGGCTGGGCTGGTCCCACAGCCCTGGAGCTCCTCCAGGCACAGCCTGGCAGGCAGCTCTGCCTGAGCCACTGCACATCTGCCCTTCCCCTTCAGGAGGGGCTGGCACAATCCCTGAGGGACCCACTGAGATCCTGGGACACAGAGGAGAAACTCCCCCAGCAGAGCTGCAGTGACACCAGTGGGGCTGTGACTTGGGAAAGGCAGCCAGGGGGGAATTTCACTCTCTGACACTCTGCTTTTCCCCCACAGCTCCCTGCATGTTGGATGAAGTCTTTTATTGACTTAGAGATGGGGTAAATGAGAGGCACTTTAAACATGTAAATTTTAAATTAAATTTTAAAAATTTAAATTAAATTATTGTAATTTAAAAAAATATATTTTTTATCTTTTTAGTCTCATATGAAAGGTGAGACAATACAGATGTTATAATTTACACTATTATAATTAGAAGTTAACTATTTCTTAATTATAATATGTTATAAATTTCTTGGGTTTTGAGTTTTTGCTACACTATATTGTAAATGCTTTAAATCTATTCTTATCTAAAATTGTTAATATTATTAATGATATTATATAATACTATAATATTAATACTATAATACTATAATATTAATACTACAATACAAATATTAATACTATAATACTATAATATTATAATATTATCCTAATATCCTAATATTATTATCTAAAATTCTCTAAAGCTATTAATATCTAAAATTACTAAAATTATTATTATCTAAAATTACTCTTTGTAGGTTTATCTTTCTTCATTCTATTTCTCCAAAGAAACGTTGATCTCCTAAATCAACATTTCTTATCTCAAAGTTTATGTCCAAATACAAACGACAGAAACTTTCTGTTAAATTCTAAAATCCTCTCCGAGTTCCTTTGCCACACTGTACTCACGCCGGGGGACAGGGCTCGGTGTTGCAGCTCCTCTGGCGCTCGGGGACTTTGGCGTCAGCGCTGCAGAAATGGTTGGGGACAGTTGAGCCATCAGAGAGTTTCCTGCACACCACGGACTGGATCTGGCTGCCTGCCCAGGGAAAAGAGGGAAGGGGGAAAGGGAGGAGGAGGCTGTGAGGCCTCAGGTTTGAGCTTTTATCATTTTCACGTTCTGTGCTGCTTTAGTGGGTGGGTCTGGGCTTCACATGAGGGGATGCTGAGCTCTCTGCACAGAGCAGGGAGACAAAACAATTCCTGCTCCAGCTGGGCACCAAGGACAAATGATCCAAATCTCAGCCCAAGAGCATCAACAACATGGAATGAAGAGAGAAAAATGAGGATGGGACTTCATAAACTAAAGCTGTAATTGGACAATGATCTCCAATATGTAAATGGAGCAGAACATTTAAAAGTGAGAGACCCCATGACCAGTTGTCCATTTTTGTAGCCATTTTGGATTGTGCTGCCCAAGGTGGATCCATTGATGCCTTTTAATAAATTCCTGGTTTGTTCTTTAGCTCTGTCCAGCCTCTGTTCTAGGTCAGCCTGCACGAGGCATCACTGAGGCTGGAGCAGAGGCAGGTCCTGGGTGCCAGCTCCACAGCTCTGCTGCCATGGGCTGATGTGACAAAGCAACCTCTTGTCCCTGCACATTGAGCATGAATTTATTCCTCCATTCATAACCAAGGGCTTCTCTGACATCTCCAGAACAAATGGATGGTGTGGAATGTTGGTGTTGATGCCTGGATGTGGCACTGTGGGTGACAAGGTGGGGAGCAGGACTCAGTGGCCCTGGAGGGTTTTCCAACCTCGATGGTTCTGGGATTCATCAGCCAGGGTAGGACATGCCAGAGGATGGAGGATCACAGCATTCCAGGGATCTCATGCTCAAATGAAGCTGTTCCAACCTTGGCCTTCTAACCAAGGTCTTGTGAGCCTGTTCTGACCTTGGTCTTGTGGCTTTCCTGGGCAGCACTTGGGGAATAACAGGAACAAGGAGGGACAGCTCTTGATTGAGGTCTGGCATGGAAGACAAGCCCTGAGCTTTAAACAGGGAGCATTATTGAGCCATTCTCTTCCGAATTCCAGCTCAGCCCTCCCACACAGGCTCTCCAGAGCCCTGAGACATGGCCCAGCCTGTGTGCCAATCCCCATGGGAACCAGTCCAAGGATTCAGGGAACACCAGGGGTGTTTCAGTTCACAGGCTGCAGAGCTGAGGCCTCAGGGGCTGTGATCAGCCAACCTGTCCTTGCTCCATCCCTGGCAGTGCCAAGGCCAGGCTGGACAGGGCTGGGAGCAGCCTGGGACGGTGGAAGGTGTCCCTGCCATGGCAGGGCTGGCACTGGATGAGATTTAAGGTCCCTCCCAAGCTAAAGCCATTCTATGATTGCATGAATTGCACAAGTAAATGGGTTTGAAAATGGATGGAGAGACAGGACACAGGGAATGGCTTTCCACTGCCAGAGGGCAGGGCTGGATGGGAGATTGGGCAGGAATTGTTCCCTGGCAGGGTGGGCAGGCCCTGGCACAGGGTGCCCAGAGCAGCTGTGGCTGCCCCTGGATCCCTGGCAGTGCCCAAGGCCAGGCTGGACAGGGCTGGGAGCGACCTGGGACAGTGGGAGGTGTCCCTGCCGTGGCAGGGGTGGAAAAATTTGATCTTTAAGGTCCTTCCACCCATACTTGTGGCCCAGCTGAAGATGGCACCCGGGTTCTTTGCCCTGGCACTGCTTGACACAACTCCCACCTGGCTGAGTGCAGGGTGGGGCTGTGTAGAGACCCCAGAGCTCCTCAGAGCCAAGCAGAGACCCAGACACAGCACGGGGGGAGGTCCCACATGTCCCCCCAAAACAGCCCAGCATCAGAGCTCACCCCCTGCACACAGCACGGAGCACTTGGTCCACGGGGTGTAGTGCCAGGAGTACAGGCTGGAGCCATCCCTGCCCACGGGAGCGTTGAACTTGTAGCGGATCCCCTGTGGCTCCGTCCTCACCAGCACCTGCAGGAAAGGCACCCCCAGGACATCAGTGCCACCACGGTGACCAGCCAGGTGGCATCCCACAGCCCCTCTACCAGCCAGGGCAGCTGGAATCGTCCCCTGCCCCCTTCCAGGGCAGCCACCAGTGGTGCTGGATCAGAGAATGAGCTCCCAGGCACTTAAGGGTGGAGTCATCCCAAAACCTGACAGATTAGGGCAGGAGGCCTGAGAATTAGGGAGGGAGATCTGAGAGTGCCCAGTGGACACAGCAGGCAGGGACTGTGGGCTCCTGTCCCACCTGGGGTGACTCTTGCAAGGCTGGATGTGGCACTCGGTGCCGTGGTCTGGCTGACAAGGCGGTGCCAGGTCACAGCTTGGACTCGATGGTCTCAAAGGGCTTTTCCAAGCTGATTAATTCTGGGATTTATTGTGTCAATTTAGCCCAATTTACCTCTGCTCTCTGTGTCCCTCTACTCCCAACAGCCACAGCAGGGGCTGATCAGCTCCAGTCCCCAGGTAGCCACAGCAAGATCCTTCTAGCCCGACTAGGACCACACCGGGAGGGGCACGAAGTTACCAACCATGACAAAGAGGGTGATGTTGGTGGGTCCCAAAGCCTCCAGCGACTCGGGCTCCTCAGGAGACCTCCTGTAGTGGAAGGTGGTGCCGGCGATGTCGAAGCGCCGGGGGGGATCGATGGAGAGCTTCCCGTTGATGAAATATTCCCCACTGTCCCCTCGCAGCGCTGCCACGACAGGGGAGGTGGCTCAGCACAGAGGCTCGAGGCACCTGGGCCAGCTTCAGCCAGGTGCTGCTCCCCTGCCGGGCTCAGGGCATGGCAAGGACAGCGGGGATGGCACCGGGGCGGGCACAGAGCCGCCAGCAGGGATGGAGCGATGGAGCCGCGCTGCGGGCTCAGCTGCCCAGCACCTCCCTGCGCTGCGGGCCAGCTGCGGCCACAAAAGCAGGCTCGAACACGGCTGGGCACGCTGGCCGGGGCTGCCGGAGCTGCCGGGGCCCGAGCCGGGCTGTGCTTGCCCGGGAGAGTCGCTAGAGGGGGAGCCGAGCGCTCGCTCCTGCCGCGCTCCGGGCGCCGCTGCCCGGCCGGCCCCATCGCGCCCGGGACACGCGAAACGTCAGTTTTAAGGAATTTGGAGATTTTGGAGGAGTTAAGGTTTTAGCCTTACTAGAGTTAATGAAAAGAAATGAGTGGGCCTTGATGAAGTTAAGGGTTAGTAGTTAACTAATAACTAATTGCTCGTCAGCACAATGTTGTGTTAGCTGGGTTTATAATGAAGAATACACAAACTGACAAAGAGTTTTAAGAACATAAGACAATTGTGGGGCTCCTCTGTTCTGAAACCAACTGAAGACAAGGAATGGGAGTTCTACCAAGAGTTCATTTGTCATATTTGCATTGAAAAGGTAGAAAGGTCAGAAGGAAGAAGACTTCATTGACTTCCTCATTTTAGGACCCCTCCCCATGAAAGGGACACTGACCCATTTCAAGGAACAAACCACGCATGCTGAATGGCTTTTGGAGTGATTAGCATGCGAAGCGGGGAATGGGATGTACCAAAATGATGAATATGTATTTGTATTTTGGGTATTCAATACTTGTATGGGTAAAAGGACTCTGGAATCACCTGGAAGCCACGGTGTGTATTTAGGAGTGATCCCACACGCAATAAACACACACTTTCTAACTTTAAACTGTTAGAGAGTTTTTGTCCTTCACAGTTGGATATTGGTACTGTTACACTGAGCTCATGGGCATTCTGTTCCCCATTCCCCGGGACCCCTGTGACTCTGATCAGAGAACCCTGGACCCTCCTTCCTGCCCTGACAGGGCTGGTGTAGAGCCAGGGAAGCCCACCCTGTCCAAAGTCTGTACAAACCCCTGACATTTCCTGTTTGTGCTCTTTTGCCCTGCTCTCCACGTGGACATCGCAGAATAAAGAGAGCTGAACCAACATATCTGGGGTAAGAGCCTCTTTTGGGAATCTTTGCCATCTCCTGATATTCCTCCTCTCACAGCCTCAGATCTCTGGGCTATCCTGATAATTTAGGGGGCTGAGAGGGGGGGGGAAACATCAGGTACTAGATCAATAGCCGTATTTTTTTAATAAATCACACAGAGGATGCTCCCCCCATCTGGATGCCCGCAGGGATCCCAAAGTGGCAGAGCCTGTGGGCAGCAGAAATCCTGAAAGGAGTCCCCATGCCCTGGGCAGGGAGGGATGGAGGCACCTCTGATGCCAGGGGAGGGATGCTGCCAGGAGAATCCTGCTGGCACCCGGCAGCATCCAGGGAGAACACCCTGCCCTGCATGGCTCAGAGGACAGGGAGGGAAAAAGGGGAAAGAAAATCCTCGTTGTGAAAGCAGGACTGAGCAAGGCTGGAAAACCAAGCCTGAGGAAAACATGAGCATTTTTAATCCCCAGGGTGGCAGAGGGGGGATGCCAGGGAGCCACAGGCAGTGCCAGGAGCTGAGGACGTGGGGTTTGCTCAGGGCTGTGGTGCTAATGGAGGACAGGGACACTGGAGACACACAGCCCACACTTCCCCTGCCCCACATCCCCATTCCCAGCTGCCGTGGCAAGTTCTCCTCGCCAGGCCTTGCCCAGAGCCTGTTAATGCCAGGGAATGGCAGGGCCTGGCTGGGGTTCCAGCACCCCAGCCCCAGCTCACCCAGGTAGTTGATGGAGAGGTTCAGCTCCCGGATGTCGATGTGGACGGAGCCCTTGGGGATCTGGATCACCTCCTCGTAACCTGTGGGACAAGCAGGTGAGCAGCATCTTCATCCTCCAGTCCCAGAGCCAGAGCTGCCCTGGGCTGGATGGGAGCGTGAGCCACCCCCTTATCCATGGGGAAATGATGGAAAAAGCATTTTGTGCACCAAAGTGTGTGACTCGGATTCAGTCAAAGAAAGAAACTGAGAGTTTCTAGCCAGGCAGGAGCCTGGGAAAGAGCTGGAGAGAATGTAGATAATTCTTTATCTCTCTTGTTGTTCACCTTGTTTATAGTTAAGTTCTATCACTGTGCATCAAGCACTTTGCACCAATGCTTTGAGTTGTTTTCACTTCAGAACCAATGGATTTGGTCCTTGCAGAGCTCTGTATAAAAGAGCAGGGTATTTTGAATAAACAGGAGTTTTACTCTCAGCAGCCTTCTGAGTCAAGTCTATTCATTCCCTTCCTGCCTCCACAGTGACACCAAAGTGCAGCGGGTTTGCACGGTGGGCTCTTGTGGTGGCACTGGCTGTGCTGGGAATGTGCTGTGGAGCTGGGATCAGCCCTGGGGAGCAGGAAGGGGCTTGGAGCTCTGTGCCAGAGACTGGGCACAGCTTGGCTGGTGGGCAGGAGGGATTTGCTGCCTCCTAGCCTGGCCCTACCCCTTGGGATTCAGCTCTGGGATTTGTCCCTGCCTGTCCCCAGGGGCAGCTGAGGTGGGGCAGGGATTCAGGGTGAGCAGGCTGTTTGTTCCCTACCTCCCTCGGGCAGGGACTGGTTGAAGACGCCCTCGATGGTCTCGCAGGAGCTGCCATCTCCCCCACAGACCCGGCACTTGTCCTCCTTGGCGTCGGAGCCCAGCACCCGGTCACAGCCCACGTGCTGCGGGAGGAGCAGCAGAATGAGCCGGCCTGGAGGGGCCCTGCCCTCCCTGCTGTCCCCACAGTGCCCCAAACACCTCAGCACCACCACCTCTGCCTGCCCTCTCCTGGGAGGGTCTCTCCAAGGCTGGGATAAAGCAGAGCTTGGCTGGAGCCCAGGGAAAGCCCTGTCCCTGCAGCTGATGTGGCCTCTGTCCCCCTGCCACCACCCGTGGGGTGGCACCAGGGACACCAGCACAGCTGTGGCTCCCTCGGGTGTGATCCCCCTTTGTTCCACAGCCCCGTGGAGACAAACAGATCCCAGAGATACAGGAAGGGAGACAGACAGACACACAGTCAGTCTGTCTGTCTGTCTGTCTGCTGACCTCTCCCACAGCACTTCCTTAGAATTGACTTTTACAGCTCCCCCCAGATCCCACTGCAAGGGAAACATCCAAGGGGCTGGGAGTGCAGAGATCCATCTGTGAGGCAGGGAATGCAGGCTGGATGGGAATGTTCCTGCTCCCACTGGGTGTCCAGGCAGAGAAATCATGGAATCACAGAATGGTTTGGGTTAGAAGGGAAGTCAAAGCCCACCCAGTGCCAGCCCTGCCATGGCAGGGACACCTTCCACCATCCCAGGGTTCTCCCAGCCCTGTCCAGCCTGGCCTTGGGCACTGCCAGGGATCCAGGGTGGGCACCCTGTGCCAGGGCCTGCCCACCCTGCCAGGAACAATTCCTGCCCAATCTCCCATCCAGCCCTGCCCTCTGGCACTGGGAGCCATTCCCTGTGTCCTGTCCCTCCAGGCCTTGTCCCCAGTCCCTCTCCAGCTCTCCTGGAGCCCCTTCAGGCCCTGCCAGGGGCTCTGAGCTCTCCCTGGAGCTTCTCCTCTCCAGGGGAGCACCCCCAGCTCTCTTAACCCTCCACCCATCCCACATCTGTGTGAGCAGTTTGAGGGCAGTGCTCACCTGCCCGAGGGTCTCTTCTTGTCCCCTGCTTGGGGGTCTGCCCTTGTCCCCCCTACCCAGGGATCTGTCCTTGTCCCCCTATCCCGGGGGTCTGTCTGTGTCCCCTCTGCCCAAGAGTCTGTTCTTGTCTCCTCTGCTTGGGGGTCCTCCCTTGTCCCTCTTCTTTGCATCTGCCCTTGTCCCCTCTGCTTTGTGTCTGTCCTTGTCCCCCTGCCCAGGGATCTGTCCTTGTCCCCCCTGCCTGTGAGTCCATCCCTGTCCCCTCTGCCCGGGGTCTGTCCTTGTCCCCTCTGCCCATAGGTCTGTCCTTGTCCCCTCTGCCCAGGTTTGTCCCTGTCCCCTCTGCCTGTGGGTCTGTCCTTGTCCCCTCTGCCCCAGGGATCTGTCCCTGTCCCCTCTGCCCAGGGGTGTGTTCTTGTCTCCTCTGCTTGGGGGTCTGTCCTTGTCCCCCCCTACCCAAGGATCCGTCCTTGTCCCCTCTGCCCAGGTTTGTCCTTGTCCTTGTCCCCTCTGCTTTGGGTCTGTCCCTGTCCCCCTGCCCCAGGGCTCTGTCCCTGTCCCCCTGCCCAGCTCTGTCCCTGTCCCCCTGCCCCAGGGCTCTGTCCCTGTCCCCCTGCCCCAGGGGTCTGTCCCTGTCCTCCTGCCCAGCTCTGTCCCTGTCCCCCTGCCCCAGGGGTCTGTCCTTTCCCCCCCTACCCAGCTCTGTCCCTGTCCCCCTGCCCCAGGGCTCTGTCCCTGTCCCACCTTGCACTCCCCGTTGACACAGATGTCGTTGGAGTCCTGCCTGCACGGGGTCCCGTCCACCACGGCCGCCGCCCGCTCCGTGTAGAAGTTGAAGCCCTCGGCCAGGCAGTTGAGGGAACAGGCCTTGACACCCCCTGGGGAAGGAGCACAGCTTCAAACGTCTTCAAAAGGTAAAGAAAAAAAATCATAAAGGCTTTATAAAATCAAGCCTGCTCTCCTGGAATTGGTGGCAAAGCCAGCACTTTGCAAGTTCCCATGTGAAAGCAATCCTGGTGTGAGCATTTCGTTAAGATAACAGTCTGTTCCTGGATAAAAAACAACCAGCACCTTATAAACTGTTTTTAGATAGAAAAATGAGAACTATCTCTCACAAACAACTTTCCCTGCACATACACACCAGGGGTTTGAGTGACCAGTCAATACAGAATAACAGCTTGTTACTAATCAATAAAAGTAATTGGCAAGAAAGGTGCTGACTAATTGGAGTCACATATGAGGTCTGTAAAACTGGATAAAAAGGAGTTGTGTGAATAAAGAATTGGTTTTTTTCAACCATGAGGAAATTGGAGCTCGTGTGATTTATTCCCGTAAGAAAGGATGTGGAGAACCAGGAGGATGCCCCTGGAGGAGGGAGCCAGGCCCTGGAGCTGGACACAGACCCCTGTGGGGACACTGCCCCTCCTGCACAGCCTGGCAACGTGGGCTGGGTGTGACAGGCAAGGAAACAAAGTGGTTTGTTCTTACCCGGGGCGCTCCTGGCACTTCAGGCATTGTAAAACCCTTCTGCCCACTTTACCAACAGGGAAACTGAGGCATCGGCTCCTGAGTTACCTTTCCAAGGATTTTTCAGCTGCCAGAGCAGAACAACCAAGTTTCTGGGCCAGGGAAACCATTCCTTTCTGTCTGAGGTGAATCCTTCCCAGCAAAGGTGATGACAGCGGAGTGAGGTTGAAGAAAGATCTTCAAGTTACAGCTGAAATTTCTGCATTTCCCATATTTCCCAACAACCTTCACCCCAGGAACAGCACCTGGCTATCTGGATGAAGTGCCTGGGAGCAGGATGTGGCTCCAGCAGAGCATTCCCTGGCTCCTGCCTCTGGATTTTCTCAAACCCTGCTGTGGCTTGTGGCGTTTGCTGCCTTTCCTGAGCATCCCAGGAGACCCAGCAGGAGCCTGGCAGAGGTGCCTGAGCTCTGGCAGTTCCCCCCTGGAGGCACCACCCAGCTCCTGATCCCTGTGCCAGGGCTGGGAAGCACCTTGGATGGGAGGAATGGGAATGTGCAAAGCTGGAAACTCGTACAGAACATCAAAGGGGCAGAGGGAGGGGAGGGGGCCCAGCTGTGCCTGGAGTGCAGCTGGGGGGAAGAGAGAGCAAAGCTGGGAGAGGGAGGA